GCTGTCAGGACTCGAGAAATGAGACTCAAGGCGGTTGAGGGAGTTCAACTATAGGGACTGGATGGTAACTGGTGCAAACAAACAACAGAGTCAGACGGTCGGTAGTGCAGATTCTGAGATTGTTGTGTTGGATGGATTATCAAGTAATATTTTTCATTCCCAATCGCAGCCTGTCATCTTTTGGCTGCGCCATTAATTATCTGACGATAAATTCTATTGGCAAGCACACGAAAAAGAAAAACAACATTAGGTCAGAGCCAACAGCCTCTTTAATGACAAACCTACCAGAGGAATTAACCAACCTCCATGTGCAATAAACGTTCGATTGCCATTGGGAGTTCGTACATCTAGAAATCAGAAATTGTGCCCGATACCGTTTCTAATCACTATAAACCAGCACACTGCGACTCCGTTAGCGAGATTAGATTATGATCAATACAGCCGGAAAATCGGTTTGCTCTCCCCCTCGTTCTGCCGAGGCCTGACATCACAGTTGTGTTTTTCACTAATCGGTCAGCTTTAAGAAAGTAATGTAATGATAAACAGTATTGAATGAAAGTACGTATCGCTAAGTAGGTAAAACCAGAAGCCTCACCCAGAAGCCACAACGTAGATGGCCTTGTCATGCGTCAGGTACTGCAGCTGCTTAAAACCACTGTGGGTGGTGTCCTTGAAGACAACAGCCCTGCCGGAACTGATGAGCTCTAAAATCGGATGAAATATAAACAACCGTTATCGCGTCATTGAAGGCAAAATCAATACTATGTGCACAGCGGTTAGTTGGTTTCTCTAGTGCGGAATTTTAAGCTATGGATGACACATTGATGATTGTTTGAGAAGAGAATTAAAATGTAGTGACTAGAATTCCAGCTATTATTAGTGTAGCAGAGAGATAAAGATATTTAATGAGCAACAGTTTGTCTCAAGCCGAGATTTTTGTGGTTGTAGCATGATGAAAGAATATGCTCTGCGCATCGCGTAGAAGGAAGTTAACATGCATTAGGCTGGGCTCTAGCTAGGACTAAACATAAATAGGAAACAACTTATAGCAACTGGAATCAGGGATTCGCTCAACAACAGCCATTCTACAAATATTCCCATTTTTAATTTGAAAAGTTGATTTGGCAAACGCGTGTTTTCAGCAATTCTTTATCGGGCCAATACCGTTGCAGAGACTACAATGGTCATTTACATGTCGTGTACGGGGAAGTCGTGATAGGGGTGGGGGGATACAATTACTTACCACGCTGTCCCCTTGTCTAACGCATGCTGGCGCCAGCCTTTTGAGGACGTTGGGTACGGCACCGACACACTACTCTAAAGGCCTGCGCAAAAGCGTGTTTGCCACATCCGAAGCAGTGGCAATCTGTTTGGTAAAACCTACTCTCTGCTGCCAAAAGACGCTGGTAGCCACTGTCTGCCTACCTTGTCCAACTACACGAGTGAACACCAAGCCGCCCAAACACACGCCGTCCGAAACCACGCATTTCGACCGGGAGAACACCCCTCCCCTCCTCTGACCTGTTCGCCGGACCCAACGTCCTCAAAAGGCTGGCGCCAGCATACGTGAGACGAGGGAACACCGCAAGGATTTATTATAACCCCCTCCCCCCGCGCCTACCCCAAAAACAATTTAAACACTACATATAACTGACCATTTTTGTACCCGCAACTGTATTGGCATGATGAAGAATTACTGAGAACAAGTGTTTGCAAAATCGAATTTTAAATCAACCGTTCCGTATTTCTGCTGCTACGCAGGTGCAACAGACAGACTCTGCGCCCTGCCATGAAGATAATCCTTGATATGCTTTTTATTGAATGATGAAGGGAGGTGAACGAAGTGTTCTTTGTTGTGCCAAAAACAAAAATATTATCTGCCCATCGAGCACTTGCCTAATATGCGAAATACAATTTCATGACGACCATCTAAGATTGGAAATTGCACCACAAGTCTTTTGCGGCCGTTTTAATTTAGTTTAACATCTACTGCAGTGCACACTTAGCCCACCACGTTCGTCGCTTCAATGATATATCCGTAAAAAGTAGCACTAATTAATTTCTGATCCCCAGGCCTCACATCGTGCTTTAAAATTGTCTGACCGGTTTGTTAGTCCTACTCGCCTTTTCCCAAAATACGGTTCTCCTTCAGGAAGTGGGGGGAGCGAAGTCAGCATAAAAGACTGCAATTGTCAACATTCCTTCTGACCCACTCTTTTGGTATACGTTTCTCGGCTAGAGCGACCGAGGTTAGTAGTCTAGTAGAAAAGGTCTAAGAAGCTAAAGGCTGTTCAGTCTTTACTCTGCAGTGTAACTGTCCAACTCGTTGGGCAGGGGAATAGGAGCCCCTCAGTACGACCAATGACCCTGTCCCGAATTCGAGGGATCGTTAGGGTTAGTGTTAGAATTGGCACTAGTTTAAGGAGGGTTACAGTGATTATTAGAGTGAACGTTAGGGCAAGAGAATATGCACCGGTGTGGACTTTAGCGGAAGGCCGCCTATGTCCCTGAAACAGTCTGCATTTCCATGTGCAACCACGGTATATTATGATGCGCAGACTTACGTTCACCAATGACAGTAAATTCGGACAGTCTAAACACTGGAACATTCCTTCGCAGTACCTGGTCGAAGTCAATAAAGCCTTACTCACACAGAATCCGCAGAATTATGTTCAAAATCTGAAGTTCATATGTTCATATGACGCCATATCCGAAGGGCTGGTGATCCCACGATCTGACTCACCGAAATCGGCAAAATGTATTTATTGTCTTATAGTAGATCCTGTCATACTCTACGGCCGGTTATCAAAGATCATCGCGCAATATTTGTGAACGTCGATCTTTCATGACCTAAGCTAGTAGTTCGATTTTGATACAGGTAGCAACGAATATTCTGCTTTGTGATACGAACACCTTACCAAAGTGTAGTGAAAAGGTAAAAATGCAGCCTGGTCTATGCAAAAACTCCAAATATATTCTCTCAAAACCTAAATGAAAAAAAGCTCGATCGCTTGCCTAAGAACAGTGGATCAAATCTAAGGATCTATATGTTTGAAAGTAACGTCATAAAAACAAAACATTCCACAACTTTTGGGCAATTCTGAAAAACGACTCTGCTACTTAGTACCTCAGATGTATTTACTAACTCATCGGACTGAATAACTATCAATTGGAACATCCTCAATGGTTTGGCACTGGATAAACTGTGCTAATAATCCTTGCCAGCAGTAAGAAAGCATGCCCAATAGTTTTACTAGTTCTCCTTACTGTATAATTTATGCGTTCTTTCCGAGGTGCCCATAAGGCACGCAGCAGATGAATATTTTCGATGATTTCTGCCGTACAATTTCTCGGCATATCCGCTATCGTATAGATTATATATATTTCGAAACTGTAGAACAATTTCCATAGGATTTTTATAGTTAATTATTAAAGTTCTCTACTTGTGAAATAGTGCAATCAGTAGGATAAAGTCAAACTAGCATATTTTTCTGTATTTTTTAAAATGTTACCATTTTTTTAAAAATGGGGACAAACAAAGGCAGTATCAGTTACTTGTTTTTGACAATACATAACTAGCGCTCTAGCACTGTATGTTTTTAGAGAAAATACCCCGAACTTTTGTTTACACAGTCGAGCGCCAGACAAAATTGTTTTATAGCCACTGATCATTCGGACATCGTTGTAAAGCGTGACTCCGTTCTGCGTCCCAGAATATTTTCGGTGGGGTCTACGGAGTGCGGGCGTGTACTAACAGTTGAGCGCAGTATGCATGATTTGCCCATATAGTTCAGTAAAATCCCATAATGGTGCACTGGTCATCGGACGCAGACAATGTCATCATCCATGCCATTTGATGCGGCTGGCTAGCGAGAGCTAATGAGCCGGAACTGCCCGTCTGGACAACCTTGTCTTTACCGGTAAGTTCCCTCTGTCTATATTAATGGTCAGTATGTGCCTGCTCGTAGAACTCTAGATCGAGCCCAAAGCTTAGCGAGGAACCCACATACAACGTAGGTGTTCTTAGCAATCGCAACCAAAAGAACAACAAGGCTCAGTAGTTTGAACCTCGGACTTGCTAACGATTATTGATCAAACGAAAGGGAGCTTGAACCGAAGTTTTTTTAAAGCTGGTATCGTTTGGGGCGAAATGATTACGACTAATAAGTCAGAAAGGGTCAACCTAGTCTTTGGGTATGACTGGCTGATGATGGCTAATGAACCAGAAATGGCCATTCTGGTCTCCCTTTACTTTGTCGGATTCACTTCATTATATCATCCTAGTCACTATGTGACGGTCTG